GACACCCATATGTCATTGGCAGCAATCCTAGGAAGTGGGTATTAGTGTGCTTATTTTACAGATGAGGAAACTGAAGCTCAGAGAGTTGAAATGCCCAGGACAGAATAACAGCAGAGCGGGAGCCTGGATCTATGACTCCAATCTTGTGCCCAATAACATTGCTAGCTTTCTTAGAACAGAGAAGCAAAACCTGGGCCCCATCTCACTACTTGGGTGCCTCTTCCTTTCCCTGACCCTTGGAGCCTCAGCTGAATGTATTTCCTAGTCTTGTCCCTCTCTTCTATTCAGTGCCCCTGTCTGTCTACATTTGAAAGCACTGTAGTCCTCTGAACGTGCTTCTAGACTTCATGGGCACATAGGAGGCTGTGCATCCCTCACTGTTGTGAGTACTGTCTATGTGTATTTTAGAGGGGGAGTTTAGAGTCTGGAAAAGAAAGGGGGGCAGAGTGGGATTCTGATTCTGCTTCTCTGGACCAGGGTTGGTGCCGAGATGGACAGCTACTTGCTATTGCCATGTCTGCTCCTGTCCCTTCCTCTGACCACAGGCTGGACTGTCTCTAACTGCCTAGTGACCCAAGGTTCCTGGCTATCTCTCTTCTCCTATTTTTTTCTGCTCTGCTCCTTCTCGTCATATGCAATTCAGTGACCAACCTGACACAAGCCTTGGAAGTTGTGCCACAGAGTGTGGAGGCGCTCTGTCTCTCTAGTTCCGTTTCTTTTCTGCCCTGGATGCTTTCTCCAACTTCCCCAGGCTCAAGGTCCTGGGACTGACCCTATATCTCACCTGGCTCCTGCCAGGACCTCTCCAGGGCTTGGGACACCTGCAGTATCATATTTTCATATCCTTTCCCATGGGAGCATTCATCTTCCTATCCCCTGATGCCTTTGGTGACCTGAGATCTCTCTTACCTTTGGTGACCTAAGATCCCTCTGGCATCTTGTTTTCTCGGGCCCCTGCCAGGATGGGAACTCAAATGTCTGGTTGCTTCCCAGTCTACCATGGCCAACTATCAAGTACAGTTGCCTTCAGAATGTGGGGATGCTGGTTGACACCTTCCCAGATCTAATGCATGGCCTCTCTTTTGGGGATGCTTGGCCCCTAGATATGTTGGATCTGTCATTCAACAAATGGCTGAAGATGGACAGTCCTGGGCCCTCCGGCCCCTCAAGTTGGTGACTCTGAATCTGGACCACACAAAGATGAAGGCAGCTGCAGTAGTGGATCTGGGGCTGCAGAGGTTGGATGCCCTCTCTGTGGTATGCACTGACATGGCCAAGCTGCCTGGTGGGATGGTTGCCCACTTTGAGATGCAGGAGCTGAATTTGGGAATGAATCAGATAAGTCACATCGCTCTGGAAGTCCTGGCTTCCTGCCACACCCTGAAGATCTTGGATCTTCAGAGCAATAACCTGACTGAGTTACCACCAGGTTTCCTGGCTGCCATGCCCAGGCTTCAGAGACTGAACCTGGCCAACTGCAGAGTGTCATGCTGTGCATGAATAAGACAAGGGCTGTGCCAGGATTGCAATCCTTGGATTGGTCCACTAATGGACTGTATACCTTGCCCCTAGCCCCCTTCTCCTGTTTGTTTCACCTGAGGGACCCCCAACTTCAAAGAAACCAGTTGGTTTTTCTGAAAGGTGAAGTATTTCAGGGCCCACAGAGGCTAGAGACCTTGAACTTGGGCAGTAATCCTCTGATATCCCTGAGTGAGGGCCGGTTGGCTTCTCAGCTGCACTGACCACCCTAAACTTGCTAGACACCCACATGGTGCTGAGCCCAGCCTGGGGCTTCTGGAGCCCAGAAAGTCTGCAGGACTTGAAATGGCAGTTCCTCTCTGGCTCTTCTGGGGTAGTGTTGTCCTGGGCAACATAGTGAGGGACTGGTAGCTGATGACAGAAAAACTGGGATGCTTCCCAGGAGGTAGCTGACTGACTGCCTGTTCAATAAAAACATGAAGTGCTGTTCACGTCTATCTCCTTTTGAGACTCATAGCAGCAGTAGAAGGAGGAGCCACCCCTCTGTCACTCTGTGTTCTGACCAGGCTATACCACTATGGCTCACAGGAAACCATGCACTACTGTCTCCAGGCTTTTCCATGTGCTGCTTCTGTACAGAAGAGCACCTTTCCCCTGGGGACTCCCAAGTAATTTTATTTTTTAGACACAGGATGTCACTCTGTTGCCTAGGCTGGATTATTGCAGTGGTATGATCATAGGTCACTGCAGCCTTCAACTTTTGGGCTCAAGTGATTCTTTCACCTCTGCCTACTGAGTAGCAAATTGCACCACCACATTCCACTAATTTTTAAATTTTTTGTAGAGGCATGGTCTCACTATGTTGCCCAGGCTGATCTCAAATGCCTCACTTATAGTGATCCTCCTGCCTTGGCCTCCCAAAGCGCTGGGATTGCAGTCATGCACTGGCCTAGGTATTCTTTAAGATGTGGCTCAACCATCAGTTTCCCTGACCTCCCAGCACTGGGGAAAGTGGTTGTCTCTGCGTTTCCACAATTTCCTGCAGCTCCATTTCTCAGAGAATTGATCACAGACCCGGAAGTCTTTCTAGAAGAAACAATCTCCAAAATTGGGTGCACAAGATGATGACACCAGGGTGAGGAAAGAAAATGTTGTAACTTCTATTTCTATTTATTTTTGATCTCATTTTATTCTGAAGTCAGACTGCCTGCTTTTTAGCTGTGTGACTTTGGCATGTACTTAACTTTCACTCTTACGTACCTCTTTGGACCTCGGTTTCCTTTTCTGTAACATGGGATTGTATTAGTCCCTCCCTCAAAGGGTTTTGTGAGGATTAAATGAGTTAATATGTGTAAAGCACTGAGAGCAGGATGTTTGAGAAAAGTTAGCGATTACATGTACAATCATTTATAAGTAAATAAATACACCTATGTTGGGAGGGTGTGATCAAGAATGATTTACCATAGGAGTGCTCTGCTGGGAATGTTTAGAGGCCAGGCTCTGGGCACCGGGACCAGGCTTGCTTCATCTCTGTATCCTTAGAGCTCCAGCCCAACTCAGAGAAGGTCTGGATAGACAATGTGGTAGAATGCTTGCAAACCCAATCCTGACAGGCGCTGAACCAGAGAGAACTTGGTTCAAGCTCGTTACTTATTTCTATATGACACGAGGCAGGGCACTTGGCCTCTTGAGTCTTCCTTAGATTTCCTCTTCTGGAAAATGCCAAGCTTTAATTAGACAAAAGCTAAGGGAAACCATAGACTGCTTCCAGGCTGGATTTAAGGTAAGGTGCGCCCTCTTGTGTCCTAATGGTGTCCTTTACTCTGTGCGCAGTGGGATCCCTTTTCCTCTTCAGGGCAGATGATACTGGAATGGACTTCCTTACCTGACCTTGAAAAGCTGCCACTCCAGTTTCTGGTCCTGATACTCCCTCAAATGTCTCCAGCTCCACCCCACCCCATAGTGCCACACTGGTCTATCCTCACCTTCAGCCCTTCCCACTTTCACATATGGTCTCCTCCTTGAGCAGTGTGGGATTTTGGGGGTCACATGCCCAGGGTCTGAAATCTCAGCCCTGGCACTTATTGGCTCTGTGATCTTGAGCAGGTCACTTCATTTCTCTAAGCTTTCTTTCATTCCCTCTTTGTAAATTGGAGCTAGAAATACCATTGTCATAGGGCTATTGTGAGACCTCAATGAGTGGCTATAGGTTGCTATTACATTTGCTGGGGAAAATGACATGAACAATTTTACATATCAGTAAGTTGGAACATGTTTCACAGAGAAGAAATTTGAACTTGGTCATTAAAACTCAGATATAGAATTCCCCTACTTTAACCCTTGCCAACATGTATAGAGCCCTTACCATAAGCTAGTTATTGTCAATTTGCCCTAAGTCTCATAACCATTAAAAAAAATAGCTAATGATACTTTCCCCAATTTACTCCTCCCAACAATCCTATCAGGAAGATGCCATTATTAGGATTCCCATTTTGCAGAAGAGGAAACTGAGGCATAAAGAGGTTAAGCAAGTGTCCAGTGGTTCACAACCACTGAGTCCAAGGTCTGTATTCTATGTTTGAAAGTGAGAAGTTTCAGACTCAAATAACTTTACTCCAGAGACCATTCTTTATCTACATCATTTAATTTAGTCTGCACAATATCCTGTAATGTAGTTTCTATTTTATTACCTGCATTTTACACATGAAAAAAATCCAGAGACAAAACAGATACAGTAATTTGTACATGGTTACAGAGCTGGGAAATAGTGGGTTGGGATTTGGATCCATGTCCAACTACAAAACCCACATTCTCAACCCCATATTAGATTGCTGATACCCCAAAGTGTTCACAGTGGTACAGAGCAACTACATTCATGGTAGGATAATTATGTAACAATGATTAACATTCTTCCAACACCCATGAAGCGCCAAGGTCTGTACTCACTGATTTACACAATAATAGCTAATACTCGCTGTGCATTCTTAGTACTCAGGTCCCGAGTTAATCGTTTTAGATGTGCTATCTCATTGAAACCTCACAAAAACCCAGTTGCATGGATGCTATTATTATTCTCATTGTACTGGTGAAGAAAGTGAGGCTCAGAAATCATCCAAGATCACGCAGCTTAGCTGTGAGCTGGAAATTGAAACTGCATCTGTCCAGTTCTCTCCAGCTCACCAGGCTGGTCATCACCAGCCACGCTTTCTCCTTATTTCTAATTGTTTCTGCTTTGATCTCTTAGGATCTCTGGCTCTCACTCAGCCCCTTCAATAGGCCTGCCCGCTTCTGCTCTAGTCCCCGCCTACTGGGTGTAGCAGTTAGCCCAGAGCCAGTGCAAAAGGTCAGGATCACAACAGGCCCCGTCCCCGTGTGTTGAAGCCGTTCTGATTTGTTCCAGTGCCAGGCTCCGGGAGAAAATGGCATTTGTATTGGCCGATCATCTCGGAAAGGCAGCAAAGGGCGGGGCCCGCCTCTGGCGCTCGCGCGACTTCTTCTGGGAGTTGTAGTGTCAGACGCTTCATTCCCGGGGTAGCGCCGTTCGGACTCCGCGTCCCGGCATTCTCTGCGCGAGCCCTGGAGCACTTCCGCCCTGTTGTGAAGTGGGTGTCTCGGTGGGTGAGTCCGGGTGGCGGGGCGGGGGCAGCTGAGACTCAGGCGCTGGGATTGAGACCCAGGAGATGGTGGTGCCACGGGGGGCTGGGGAAGGTGAGAGGGGAGAAAGAAGCTTTTACGTGGGGATGGAGGGCGAGGGGCGGGCAGAGAATGAAGCGTCCGGAGATGGGAAGTGTCATACAGGGGTCGGGGATGAGGAGCAGATCGAGGACCCTGGGAGTGAGGAGGGTCTTAGAAAGGGCAGCAGGTGAGGAGGCAGAGAGAGGTCTTGGAGGTGGGAGAGCCAGAGAAGGGTCTGGAGACCACAGGGGAAAAGCTAGAGGGTCTGGGGCCCTGGCAGAAGTGAAGCTAAGAGAGCTTGAAACCCGACCTTTAAAATTGTGTTTTCAGTCTATACCTGGCCGCCTAGACAGACGTAGCTAATTGGAGCCCTCTCTAGTGGTTGTGACTCTGGAACCCAGTAGGTAGGTGTGGCTGTTGTGTTCTACCCCAAACCTGCACTTCTGTCCTTATGCACCCTCATCCACTTGCCTACCTC